ATTCCAGCATAGATAGGGCACTCCCATCTCTGCTGAGGTTCTGCTCCCATCTAAGGATCAATGGTCCATCGATTGATTGCTGCTGACAGAGGGAGAGTCATTCTCTTCTTAGGTATACGGCCTCTGGTATGTTGCTCATGCTCCACTGGACAGCTTATACCCATGTGCGTACAAGCAACATTAAGTAGATTCAGTGTTATTAATGACAAAATTAAAAATAATATGACATGAAATTAGGGAGATCAAGTAGTGAGCACAGGGGAGAGCTGGAGGAAGTAGTGGTATATGGATATGGTCAGAATACATTGTAGAGATATATGGAACAAGGACAACTATTGTCAAACATGGGTGGGGAAAAGCCCAGGAGGCGTCAACCCAACCCAAAGAACTACAGGCAGTGAAACATTGCTGAGACCTGGAGAAATAGTCTTCCTCAGGGAAAAGCACACCAATTGGTTATCCAGCACCAAATGGTCAGCTTTGAAAACATACATACAAGTAACATTATACAGACTGAACAGGTTATACTTACATATTTAGGAATATGTATGTGTGTGTGTGTGTATAACAAGAATGAGAAAAGAGACCATAAATTTGAAAAAGAGCAAGGATGGCTATATGTCATAGAGGAGAAGACTAGGGATGGGGGAAGAGGATGGGAGGGTGGGACCAGGAGGAGAGGAGGGAGGGGCTACAATTGGAATGTAAAGTGAATATATAAATTAAAATTAAATTAAAAAGGAGGGTGTATGGAAGAATTTTGAGGGGGGAAAGGAAGGAGAGACATTTAATTATAATCGCAAAACAATATATTTTAAAAGAAATAAAATCTAAAAAGTTAATACATACTAATTATTTAAAACAATCTTGAAATTGTAATTACATAATTTCCCCTTTCCACTACACAGATCCTCCCATACACCCCTTCTTGCTCCCTTTCAAAGTCATGGACTCCTTTTTCCTTAAGTGTTATATAGGTGCATGCAAATGGATGTATCTGTGTGTTTGTGTGCATGTGTAAATTTCGGAATACATAAATACAACTTTCTCAGTTTGTACAAAAAAATTTTTTTTAATTTTATTTTTTTCTTATCAGTTACATTTTATTAACTCTGTATCCCAGCCATGTCCCGATCCCTCGTTCCCTCCCAGTCCCTCCCTCCCTCCCTCCCTCCCTCCCTCCCTCATCTTCACCGTGCCCCTTGCCAAGTCCACTGATAGGGGGGACCTCCTCCCCATTCATCCAATCCTGTTTTATCAGGTATCTTCAGGACTGGCTGCAAAGCTCTCCTCTGTGGCCTAACAGGACTGCTCCTCCCTTGAGGGGTGGGGAGGCCAAAGAGCCAGTCATTGAGTTCCTGTTAGAAATAGTCCTTGTTCCCCTCACTATGGGAAACCAATTGGTTACTGAGCTACCACAGGCTACATCTGAGCAGAGGTTCTAGGTTACATTCATACATGGTCCTTGGTTGCATGTCAGTCTCAGAAAAGACCCTGTGCCCAGATATGTTTGGTCCTTGTGGAGCTCCTATCCTTTCCTCATCAGACTAACTCCCCTTCTTTCTTATGATTCCCTGTACTCTGCCAAAGGTTTGGTCATGAGTCTTTGCTTTGAAAACACTGCTAGTTAGAGTTTTTCAAATGCGCTCAGTAGACTCCTGTCAATGTTTAATGTGCATCCCATCTGTCTTTCTAAACGAGGATTGATAATTTTACCCCATGTCCGCTCTCTTGATTATCTTTTTTAGGTGTATAGATTTCATTATGTTTATCATGTCTTATAGGTCTATATAAGTGAGTATATACCGTGTTTGTCTTTTTACACAATGGAATACTACTCAGCAATCAAAAAGGAGGAAATCATGAAATTTGCAGGCAAATGGTGGGACCTAGAAAAGATCATCCTGAGTGAAATATCCCAGAAGGAGAAAAAATTTTAAACCCTGAATTTCATAAAAGCCAACTGATTAAAAATTACCGCCAGTTAGCAAGAATTCCTTCAAAATGTTGATTTTGACGTGGGATGCTATTATTTACTTTCAGAAGATGGTTTGGGGCCTACTGTTGAAAAATTGATTTGTGAAACATTATACACACACACACACACACACACACACACACACACACACACATATATATATATATATATATATATATATATATATATATATATATATATATATATATATAATCACATACAAAATTTGTGCCAGAACTTTATCATGAAAACTGGTTTATAGACTAAGCATTTTCAGATATTTAACTTCTCATTTAAGTGAGATGAATATGCACTTTCAAGGTAAAAATCAACTTATCAGTACAATTTGTCAAATCATAAGTGTTCCAAATGAAACTTAAATTATGCTGTGTTGGCATGTTGACAAAACATAGTCTCTTGAGCTCCAAAAATTATGTAGCCTTGCTTTTTCTATTTGATACAAGAATTTGAAAACAGATTTTAGGATTTTTGAAAACTCTTGTATATTTGCAACTTCATTTTCAGTCAACATAATTGTTATCTGACAATTTTCAAATGAAAAGCATGAAGCTGAAATTTGATACTGAACTTAGAGGGGATTAAAAACATCATTTCTTTTTCATAGACTTGTAGGTCCTGTTTTCTTAGACTAAAATATCCTTCACTCAAAATAATACCATTCATGCCATTGCTTTTTGGTACCACCTACAATTGTCAACTATTTCAAGAATGAAGCATACTGAGAGTAAAATTAGAACCAAGATACTTTGTGAGTATCTGAAAACTCACTAAGAATTACAGCTACTTTTATGCATTAGGTTTTCAGATAGAATGTCAAATACCCAACTAAAATTCTGTCATTGTAATTTTACTTTTATTATTAAAAGTTTAGCTTTTAAACAATAAAAAGGTAATCAATTTCCTGTCTACAATTCTCTCTTTGAACTTTTCTTTTTTTTAATTTTTATTTTTTTTTCTTATTAGTTACATTTTATTAACTCTGTATTTCAGCTGTATCCTGCTCCCTCATTCCCTCCCCAACCCCCCCTCCCTCCCTCCTCTCCACCCTGCCCCTTTCCAAGTCTACTGATGGGGGGGACCTCCTCCCCATTCATCTGACTCTGTTTTATCAGGTCTGAAAAGTCCTCCTCTGTGGCCTAACAGGACTGCTCCGCCCTTGGGGGGTGGGGAGGTCAAAGAGCCAGCCACTGAGTTCCTGTTAGAAATAGTCCTTGTTCCCCTTACTATGGGAAACCAATTGGTTACTGAGCTACCACGGGCTACATCTGAGCAGAGGTTCTAGGTTATAGCGATACATGGTCCTTGGTGGAGAGTCAGTCTCAGAAAAGGCCCTGTGCCCAGATATATTTGGTCCTTGTGGAGCTCCTATTCTTTCCCCATCATACTAAGTCCCCTTCTTTCATATGATTCCCTGTACTCTGCCGAAGGTTTGGTTCTTGAACTTGGAACATCCTGGCTTCTATACCTACTTGAATTATTAGGTAATTCTTATTTCTCAAATTTATTATCCTTTCTCTATTCCTGTCATCTTGTATCTTCATCATCACTTTTCTGGGATTAAAAGACCCTCCTGGCTAATCTGCACACCATCAATCTTCCTCTGTCTTACTTCAGAATCTCTTTTGCTTGCATGTGAACCAGGTAAACACATTCAACAAATAAGAATATATTACAAAGTTTCATTGGGAACTTCAAGACCTAGACTTTTTCAGAGTTACAAAATGATTATTCTACCTCCTGGGAGCATGTAATACATTCAAAGTAGGAAGACATAGAGACAGGTGTAGAGTGTACAAAGGATGTACCCTAGTCATTTTCATCAAAAGATCAATTGCTTTCTTAGAGTCTCCTCAAAATATTTCTGATTATATCTAAACCAGAGCTATATAAACATAATCTTTACTAAAAGAAGTTAGAAAATGTATTTTTTCTTGTGGTAAGGAGGACAAAATATCAAAGATTAGAAATGGATGTTGAGTTTGATTTAACTGTTTGTTACCTGATCTTTATAGCTCATCTTTCAATTCATGGCAGTCATCTTTTTACAACTATTAAGTAGGTGTTTTAAAACTTCAGTAGCTCACCATTGCCTATATAGTCAAATGAAAATGTCTTACTATCTTATATTCTAATTTTCATTCATATATACCTTCTTTCAGATGTACGTTTATGACATTCCACTTGCTTAATGAATGTGATTGTGTTTGCTCTTTCAGCCTCTTCACTGCTTGTGCATCCTTTCAGCATGCCCCTTTGTCTTATTTCACTCTACATTCTCACATCCTACCCAATCTTCAAATATAATTTTAGTGTCTCCTTTTTCCAATTCTCTGAAATAGGAATTCATTGCATCTTATCCTTGGTATGTATAAATATTATAACCCACGCAATTTATTTTAATAAGTTTTTTTTTTTTTTTTTACCACAGGATATAGCTGTGAGTATAGTGGGTATAGCTGGTGTTTATCTGGAGATCGCCTGTTTATGATGGTTCTAGATGGTGGCATAACTCCAATATAATTGAAATTTTATAAAATGACCAGGAAGAATGGAAACCTACAAATAATGTTGAATGTGGCATCTTCTCTAAGTACAATCAAAATGCTCTACGTGTTCAGGAATGTACTGTAGTTATGGAGCAGTAGCAAAGAGGCAATGGGACTAAATGTTCAAGATAAGGAATCACTAACTTTTCACAATGTAGTGTAACTGTCAGAAATGAATTTTAAACCTCATACCTACCAATTTCTATTTAAACTTACCCATACTTCATTATATATAAAACATAAATCCATTTTTATTTGAATATTGTATTTATTTTAGTTTCAACTGTTAAAATGTGAAAGCATCACCATTGTACATTTGATGAAATGGTTACTAAAAACTTCAAGTCCAGTGTCAGTGGGTTTTGAATGGTGTGATCCAATAGATTGTTAGAACTTTTGCTAGTCGTTAGTGTTTAGTTTGGATAATGAATAATTGACTATATCTTGAAAAAAATTGTTTCAAAGTAAAATACAAGAATATTGTGCTCACTTACTTTATTTTACAACATTTGATGTCAAAGTGATGTTTCTCAGGTGATACTCAAATGTTGAGGCCTATGTTGGGATGAGTTGTTACTAGTTTTTTGTTTGGTTTTTTTTTTTTTTTTCATTCTTCCTCTGCAAGTTCCAGGAGATCTTCAATGTTAAATCGGAACAAATGCCAGCCTTCCTCACAGGAAAGGTCTAAAGCTCCTAGGCGAGTGTAGTACTCAACGGAATCCTGATTCCAAATGATGACAAGAAACTGCATGGCATTACAATGGGTACTGATGGCTATCTGTTTTAAAACAAACAAGTAGATATAACTCTTATTTGACAGTATAGTCATTCATATTTTATTGAAGGTCTGTTATATACAGTGCTATATATGTACGATAATTTTGAAATGCTATAAGTGTTTTTGGTCAACAAATCTTTTATATTAGTGCAAGTCACGCTGTGGGTCTATTTAATGAGTAAACTTGTCTTTTCTCTCCCTCATGCTTATTTGTCCTTGATGGTACAAAACATAAATATTGTGTTTGTACATTATATAGAACTAAAATTTAATTAAATATAATTTAGAGAATCTGAATTTTCAACTTGAAAACCCACTTTAATATTTGAAGTACATGTTGTAAAAGTGTTTCGTGTATGCAAATGCTCATGTTCAAATGGGTCTGGGGTGCACGTGTGTGCGATGCAGTGGCAGTCAGAGAGCAACTTCGGATGTTATCCCTCAGCTGCTTTCCACTTTTTGTTTGATATCAAGTCTCTTACTTACTGGCCTGAAATTTCACCAAGTATGTTGGGGTTGCAGCCACTAAACACAGGATTAAATCTTTGCCATTGCTGACATAAAATTGTGTGCCACCACTCCTGGCTTTTCATGTAAGTTCTGGGGATTGGGTTTATCTCCTCATGTTTGCAAGGCCTTATCAGCTGAGCCAGTCCTGGTATATTTAATTAGTAAGATTAGTCACCTAACCTATAACCTATTAAATAATTCTTGATGAAGAAAAAGATAATATATAGTCTATTAGTACTAACTAAAACACATACCTGACTTAGCTTCTTCAGCATGTCAGCCCCAATACCTATACCTATTAAACAGACATTTTCAGAGAAAGGCTGTAAGTTGAAACTTTTTACGTAACTAGTCATTTACTTTGGTTTTAAATCAATAAAAGATCAAACTCTATTTATGGTTACCATATATTCTAAATAGCATGTGTTGAGACTCATTCATGAATGCTTTAAATTTTCTTTTATCTTACTGAAGTATGTCATTAATGATAATGCAAGAGATTAGTTTTATTTTTAAAATCCATGGTGAATAAATGAGTTTCTGTCACTGTGTTCTTTCTTTTTCTTGAGAAATGGTCTCACCATCTGTTGCTGGATGGCTTGGAACTCAAACTCACAGAGGCCCACCATCCTCTGCATCCCAGATACTGGAATTTAAGGTGGGTGTCACCATGCTGGCCGTCACTGTTTGCTCAGAACAGGGCATATTTCTTATTTATATCTACTAAAAACAAACTGCATAGCTTACTTGAGTGTGTTGATGAATGCTATTGAAATAGTTTCTAGCTTTTGGTTGACTCTTCACTGCACTAGGATCCTGATCAGGCTCAAGAAATGGAAATGAGTTATTTGAATAACTTAAAAACATAGCTATGCTTATCTGTAGCTCTTATATTAAAATGTAACTTAGAAATTCTTAGTGTTTGCAAGTAATATTATGATTGTAGTTTTACCTTGATAATCTTCAGTGATATAAAAATCCTCTAGGTGAAGCAGTTTGCCAATCCATGGGTCGTAAGTGAAATAGTACATGGCAAATCCAATAGTTTTCAGTCCTGGGATGAGAAGGAGGCAAAGAGGCTAGTGCTTTTTACATCATAAAAAGGTGTATGTCTTCAAATAGAATAAAAAGGGTATTTTTATTTGCTGCTTTAACTAATAAAGCAGTAAGTGGTTGCTAGACCAAGTATCATTACATAAACATATAATGTAGAAAGTTTACTTTTCTTATAATACAGCCTTTAAAAGAAAATATATAGTTTGATGCATGTTGTTATACTTTTTAAATAGTTTTAAAATCAGAGTGACCTAACAGTGTTATTTAAAAGTACACAGGGTTGGACATTGTACTCATCTGCTTAATACTGTTTACACAAGGTGTATTTATTAGTTAAGTCTGTTTTCAGATATAGAAAACGTTACAGATTGAATTATAGACAAAGGGTTTAGTTTACCTGATTCTGTTTGTTGATTGGGCGCTTCAGCAATCAGGCAGTAGAAAAGTGGATTGACCCCGAAACCGTCTCTGTATAAATCTGAAATATCAATTCATACGTAATATGTCCAAGTTTATAAGTTGGATAAAGATGGCAAATAGGAAGCAGCAGGAACACTTCTTCCCGCCAGCACAGCAGCTATGCTGGTAGAAACTGTCTGAAGTGGGTATTTCAATTTTTCTTCTGGCTTTCAGAGGCCCTCTGTAGCAGGTTCCGAGGTTGTTTCCTATTTTCTTTTTCTTCTGATGTCCATCCTCTTTGCCTTTCAGGATGGGGATTGAACATTTTAGTTAGGGTCCTCTCTTTTGCTTAGTTTGTTTAGATGTACAGATTTTAGTGGGTTTATTCTATGTTGTATGTTTATATGAGTGAGTATATACCATGCGTGTCTTTTTGCTTCTGGGACAACTCACTCAGGATGATCCTTTCCAGGTCCCACCATTTACCTGCAAATTTCATGATTTCCTTATTTTTCATTGCTGAGTAATACTCCATTGTATAGATGTACCACAGTTTCTGCAGCCATTCTTCAGTTGAGGGGCATTTGGGTTGTTTCCAGCTTCTGGCTATTACAAATAAAGCTGCTACAAACATGGTTGAGCAAATGTCCTTTTTGTGTACTTGCGCCTCTTTTGGGTATATGCCTAGGAGTGGTATGGCTGAATCTTGAGGAAGCACTATTCCTAGTTGTCTGAGAAAGCGCCACATTGACTTCCAAAGTGGTTGTACCAGTTTACATTCCCACCAGCAATGGAGGAGGGTTCCCCTTTCTCCACAACCTCTCCAGCATGTGTTGTCATATGAGTTTTTCATCTTGGCCATTCTGATGGGTGTAAGGTGAAATATCAGGGTTGTTTTGATTTGCATTTCCCTAATGGCTAATGAGGTTGAGCATTTCTTTAAGTAATCCTTTGTTTTTCCTCTCCTGTTACCTCCTGTCTTAAATATAAC